CGGTGAATATCACATCATATTCAATGGCTCACTAGTCAATAATTGTATAATATTGCATTCAATTTTATATATAAGTATGAAAAAATTATCAATAATCCATGTGACCTTTAGAAATTGCTATAAATATGGTTCAAAATGTATCGGTAATGCTCTATCTTTTAAAATGTATCTTTTTATTGTTAAGTTAATTTTTATATTGTATCATACACATTTTCATATTTTTCATATTTTTAACAACATAATTAATATATCCATTACAAAATACATACAAATTATAGCTATTTTTTCTGTCATTTTTTAAGTAGATATAAGGAATAATAATGTCTGTTATGTTTTGGTGTGAAAAATTCCACTTAATTTTGGATTTCATTTATAATGAGTGAAAAAAGTATAAACGGTGTAAATGTTTTCTTTTCATCTTGGGAATAATTTATCTAATCTTGGGGATATTTCAACTAAGTAAAAAAACAACCGTGGAAACACTAACCTTGGTATAAAATCTATGTAAACCTACCACATATATTCTTTTAAGAACTTTCAATATAATTATAGGCTTTCAAACAATTAAGTCTGAATTGGCACATTCAAGGTCTTAATTTCCTTCACAAATCAAAAATATTATACCCACAGAAATATTCGAAATTAAGAATTTACTAACAACATTCCCCTAGTTTTAAGAATAAAGGCTTTTAACATAAAAATAGAACTGAAAATTGGATATCTACGTCATTGAATTCAATTAAGCAGCAATTTCTAGACAATTAATGTTTTAAAGTGAATTTCAAATTATTAGTCCGGAGTCTTTCTCTTGGGCTTTAGGATTCTATATAAAGCCTTACTTAAATTCTAACACGGACATCTTGAATGGATAATGATAAATGTTCAAAGTGTGGGAATGGGAAAATAATGAAAAAGAGAGCATTGCCAAAAAATACATGTGCCATTACAAATTCAAGTCACAAAACTGGCAATCTTTGTTACTTCTGAACAAATATCAATACATTAACCATAATTATACAGACCTAAGTGAATTTCAAACCATAACTCATATATGGCATATGCCAAGTTGATACTCATCTTAAAGGATATCATATATTGAGATAATTTGAATTTATATTGACATAACTTGACTTCATATATTGAGATAATTTGATATCATATATTGAGATAATTTGACTTCTTATTTTGAGGTAACCTTACTTCATATATTGAGATAATTTGACTTCAAAGTTTGAGATAATTTGACATCATATATTGAGATAACTTGATATCATATATTGGTAAAATTTAACTTCATATTTTTAGATAATCTGACACCATGTATTGAATTAACTCAACATTATATATTGAGATAATTTGACTTCATATTCAGAGATAACTTGATATCATATATTGAGATAACTTGACATCATATATTGAGATAACTTGACATCATATATTGAGATAACTTGAACATCATGTATTGAGATAACTTGACATCACATATTGAGATAACTTGACATCATATATTGAGATAACTTGACATCATGTATTGAAATAATTTGATATTATACATATATATTGAGATAATTTGACATCATATATTGAGATAACTTGACATCATATTTTGAGATAACTTGACATCATATATTGAGATAACTTGAAGTCATGGATTGAGATAAGTTGACATCATATATTGAGATAACTTGACATCATATATTGAGATAACTTGACATCATGTATTAAAATAACTTGACATCACATATTGAGATAACTTGACATCATATATTGAGATAACTTGACATCATATATTGAGATAACTTGACATCATATATTGAGATAACTTGACATCATATATTGAGATAACTTGACATCATGTATTGAGATAACTTGACATCATATATTGAGATAACTTGACATCATATATTGAGATAACTTGACATCATATATTGAGATAACTTGACATCATGTATTGACATAACTTGACATCACATAATGAGATAAATTGACATCATATATTGAGATAATTTTACTTCATATAATATTGAGATAACTTAACTTCATAATTATTAAGCTGATTGACTTAGTTAACTTGAGTAAGATAATCTCAGTATAAAGGATACAAGTATCTACATATAACCTGCAGAATATAAGCAGTATATTTACCACATTTTAGAGGTCACTAGCGAACTGGAAATATATTCAACCACTGGGATCATTTAAAGTAACATGATAGGTCATAGATTTATATCTTCTGTCATAAGGTAATGAAAGGGAAAATACCAAGTCCCTTTAGAACATCTACCCTTAAGGTTTTGTAAATAAATAACTAAAACTAATGTTTTGGCAACTTGCTGACAGTATCAGCAAGATTTGGAGAAAGTTTGTGTCAAACTTGAAGGAAACAATAGCTCTGTACTGACAGAAATCTCTGGAGATTCTCTCTTCTTTAATAATGAAGCACAACAAGATGGGAAATCACTTAAATTCTCACCACTTGTAAATCAGCATAAAATATCTTGCTCGTGTCAACAAGTACAATAACAATGTTTTACAAAAAAAGAACTAAGAATGCAACTCACCGTGATACTCTTCTGGGAAATAAAGATCATGATAGCAGCACATAGTATAGTACAATCAATTGATATAATACCAGCAAACTCAGAAGTAAGTGTTACCCTAAGTTTCCAATCTCCCCTTTTATATTTGCCCATTATCCTGCTATTTTTCTTAAACAGTCTTGAGCACCTTCCACCTGCCTTATTTCTAGTTTTATATAAAACTTATGCCAAATTTGAAGAAAATCAAGTTTTAAATGCATTTTTTTTGTATTTATCAATTTCCATAAAACACAAAAATCATCTTTAAAACGGCAGTCAGACCGTCCTTCGCACGAATGATCTAAAGAAATATTTGTATTGCTGGTAAAAGTTTAATGTCATAGCAGCCGTATGCTTTTATTTATTTCTTTTCATTTGATTTATGATGTAATATTTAAGTCCGTTTACTTACTTATTTACTTGTACTATAGCTTTTCACAGATTCTGCATTACTTTTGAATTAATTGCACACACACTAGTTACTGGATATTCACGGTGAGAATGCGGTTAAGGTAATTAAATACCCGATCCAGTCGAAACAGAAAAACAAAACGTCAATTATGAAATCAGAATTATTTTCAAAATTGTAATGTTTGAATGTGTGTATAAATATCTACATGCTAGATAAATGAAGTTCCAGAATACTATAGATACATGAATTGTGGTAATCTTAGAAAATAGTGACAAACTGAATTCAAAGAATCATAAGTTAATAATTGCATTACACAAGAATTAAGATGTATTAAAAAGATGTACTATTTTTTGGGGTGTTTTTAATGCTACCGAAAATGGAATAAAATTGACGTCATTCTACGTCTTTTTTATTTGCATTGGAGGACTTCAGGTAGAAGTAAGCTAATAAGTATAATCATTTACATTCGGTACACTAACTAGCAAGCTTCCTCATATGACAGAACCAAAAGTCTTTGACGGATTCGAAGCCATAGCATTGAGGGACAAGTGGTTTAAAATGAGAGATCTTAACCACTTAACCAATGAGAACTGTGAGTTTTAAAGGAAATATAAGAAACACAACAGTAATAAGTTTTCAATTTTAATTATTAGTAAAATATCTTATTCCTGGGGCCTATACACCCATAAACACTTTCGATATGAAGTACGTAAATGACCGAGGTATATCGAGTGAAATTTTTTTTTGTCTTCGAGTAAAATAGATGTCTCTCGTTTTAAACAGCTAGTTTTTTGTGATTTAGCGCCTTATTTTAAAAATTTATCACACCAATGGATAGCTTTGGATCTTAGCTTCGTCACAGTATATATTTCAACACATCTTTTGACACAAAAGTATTTAAATTAACTGTTAAACCTACCTTATGTCACACCATTTTACAGTAAGATACGCAATTGGTTATCTTTACCCGTCAACCTATCGTCTGCTAGTTCGGAAAGTGTTTAAAAGTATGACATATTTAATCTTTAATCACTGCAGAACAAAAACAGGACTCACAAATTTGTCGGTAAGTCTTATTATTAGACAAAACCTTTCCACAGTTCTTTGGACCTTTTTGTAACATTATGTTTGAGATCATGTAACATAAATTTACGTATGTGGTCAAGCGGTTATAGATAATAAGCAAGATTTACATTGATGCCTCTAATCATTTGAATTATTTACAAATATTTAATCTTAGTAACCTTTATTCAGGGTTATTCAAGGCCATACAGTTATGTAATATCAAATAAACACTGTACATTGGACTTCGTAATAATTGCTTCTTGATTAAAGTTTTTGTTTTGCAGATTGGCATATGAGTAAATCAGTCTAATATTATTCAGCATACATAGGCTGTTTATGAATATTTGATCATTCAGATAGGGTCTTAACTAATTAAAGGTGCCCGTATACTTGTATATTTAAATAATCATTTATAATTAAATAATGAACACAATACAACATATTTAATAAGCTGACACTATCATAAACTGGTAAATTTACCATTTTTATGATAATGTGGTTATTATATTTCAATCTCAAAGATCTTTAAATGATTGTAAATTTTCTCAGAGTATAAAATTTAAAAGTATTTTACTAGTTTGCCATTACGTATTAAATTGAATATTCATGTTTTCACAGTATATACCAAGTCTATCTATGTTCGATAAAAAATATTTTTAAGATCATTTATTTAAAAAAAAGTCGTTCTTCATGACCTGTATATATTGATAACTATTTCACATTTATACACATAATAAATTGATTAACTAATATATTACTAATTGTATAGCAAACAATATTAGTGAAATTTGCACAAAGCGCTGGTGTCAAGTTCTTCATTTTGTATACTATACTGGTTTAAAATCGGTATATTTAACATTCTGTGTGATATTACTATCGTTTTACTTCGGGTCGATAAAGCATAACCTTTGTGTTAAATCAGGAGGTAAATATTGAAGTTTAAAATGGCGTCTGGCGGAAGTGAACATGCGTCCGACGAGATCTTTAATTTCAAATGTTCGCCTTGTTTGGACGATAAACGAAATAGAGAAGCTGCGAAATACTGTGTGGAATGTCAGGGGTACTATTGTCAATCATGCGCCGACATGTTTCACAAAATGCCGGGATTAAAGAGTCACACATTTTTGGATCAGACGAATTACAAGTCGTCAAGTGGCATCGGAGGATTGCCAGCAATACCCACTCAGAGATGTAGCGTTCACAAGACAAAGATAGTAGACATGTATTGTGGAAATCACGACGAGGTTGGTTGTAAAACTTGCATCGCACTCGGCCACAGGTAAGTGATTATTTCTAATATCAAAATCATATAAACCTGTTTACACTGGAGTATAAATGATTGTATAAGGGCGGTTTTACTCACTAGCAGAATAAACACAGTTACAATAAAACGGCAAAAGTTCTCAAAATGGCCACTTTGCCCTCTAAAATTGAAAATAACTCAAAGTGTGTCCATAGGGCAATAATAATAATTGGGGAAAGACTATATATTGAAAACCAAGATCATAACAGGTGTCACTTTGACATTGATCAAATGACCTCTTAATATGTATGTGGGCCGGGACATCTACTGGTCAAAAAAATATGCATACCCATGTAAATAAACTAATCATTATTTCTTCTATTGGTAAATAAGACAAGAGCTTTACAAAAATTATTACTGTGACCATGACCTTTGACCTCATGACCTTAAAATTAATACTGGTCATTTACATCTACCATAAGCAATTTTCCTACCTTAAGTATCCTTAACCACGGCTTATTTATTCTCAAATTTATTATCAGAAAAACAAATTTACATTAAATGTCATTGTGAACTTGACTTTAATACAATGACTAAATCATCAAATGGCCATTGGCTATTTCGTTACCAAGATAAACCAAAGCTTATTCCTTTTTAAGATATTGACAAGTATTTTACATGAGGGTTACTATGACTTTGACCTATGACATTATTGGATTTAAATCTAATGGCCTCAAAATCAATAGGGGCCATTCACTGGTCATGGGCATTTTCCGTATCAATCTAAATAAACAACTCTTTTCCTTCTTAATTAACCAGAAAAGAGTCACTATGATCTTAACCATTGACCTTATGGCGTCAGTTTCAATTCAAAGTAACATAAATCACAGCTTATTCTTTCAAAAATTATTAAAACAAAAATTATGATTACGGAACGTACGGACGTTAAGACTAAACAACCTATTACAATAGGCTCCCCATTTTTTTAAGTGGGAGCATTATAGACATCGGTACAAGTACCTGTCAGGTTTCTCTTTTTATATCATATCAACTAATTGAGATTACTCAACGGAAGATATGTAATGTTTATGGTATTTCTTATCTGCATTATGTATTAAAAAAGTAATTGTAATAGATATATGCATTTTTTCCCATCGATGACACCTTTATAACTTCCAGATCGTGCTCTGATGTTAAGTCAATTCCAGATATTGTTGATAAAGCACACAGCACAAAAGACATCAAGAAGCTAGACAAAGAATTAAAAGATGTAAAAAGGTTGAAAGAAAAATTAATTGATACTAAACGTGCTCAACGAGAAGATCTAAAGAAATCTAAATTTGATTCGATAAGAGAAATTAAAACCTATCGTCAAGAAGTCGACGCCATCTTAGACAACATCGAGGAAAACTCGATAGCCGAGGTTGAAAAAATATTTCAAGAAGTTGACTCGGAACTTTTCAAAGAGAATACAATTACAGAAGACGAAATAGATCAACTTGAACAATCGTTGAAAGATTTGAAACAATCAGAGGGAAACAAGGCCCAGCAGTTTGTTTCGATGAAAACGTCTGCTTTATATATTTCAAAAATGAACGACGAAACTATTCCCGACAAATTTCCAGTTTTGAGACAAGGATTACTATCATTTTTTGAGCCTACGATTTAAAAATGCACTCTTCAAAATCCTCAAAAAACGTTCGGACGTACTCTAAGGCCAGCTTCAAAAACCAACAAGTTTGGTCAGTGGGTGTATTAAAGAATTTTAGATATCCGCCCCTTCGAATTGAAGTCAAAACCATATGTGTATGGAACTGGTATAACAACAGATGGTTCTTACTTATTGCTGACAATGAAAAATAAAGAAAACTAACAGCGTGCAGATATAAAAATAGATTATGAAAGATTATGTTCAATTTCCTGGATCGGGCCATATGTATGTTGTTGTACAAGGGGTACTGAAGCTCAGTCAGGTTTTGACGCGATAAATTCAGTCAATTTGTCTCTCTAAACAAAGCCAAACTTGTACTCACGCAGAAATACAAAGTTTAACACAGAGTGTTTTGGCATTGCATGTCAGCGATTCAGAAACTCGTTTTTAACATGGACGCTTGGGAGCTCAATATACATTATTATGATTAACAGTACTGTGTTTGAAAGGTGTTACTCAAGCAATATAGAAGGAAGATATTTCTCCAGTAATACGACATATTGCTTTTAGTGATGTGGATGATAAAATGTTTGTTGCATGTTTTGTGAATGGTCTTATTTCTTTGGACAGAAAAGGGAATTACTGTCAGACTTTCTCTGATCCCGATTTGAAAATCGTGACAAGTGTTTGCACCGAAGGCACTGGAGATTTGTTTGTATCCGGGTGTAATTCAATTAATGTTATACAAGTAGGCAGAGATATGAAGAAAATAGGAGAAGTCATCAAGCCATCAGATGGACTGAAACATATACAATCAATTTGTTTTGACAAAAGAAAACTTGCATTAGTTATTGTTGACATGTGCAAAATTATCAAAATTGCTTTTTTAAAGTTAAATTAATTTTAACTTGTTAAATGTCGGGAAACATATATATTGTAACGATCCTTATATTCCTCAATATTATATTTCCTTTACAAAGGAGGGAACCACACTTGTCCATTTTCAAAAGAGGAAACTAAAATATACATGCATAATGTGCTCAATAATATTCTTATTATCTAAGAAGTCCCTTTAGGATGAAAAGTAATGCACCTTCATATAATATACTGTGTGAAAAAGTTGAATTCTTAAATATTGTAGAAAATTTTGAAGAGCATAGATATATATATTATAACAAGAGCGATCAGTGATCACATGTATCGCCTCATGATGGCCAATTAAATGTTGTGACAAGTTTTGTGACAGACGGACAGACAGACGGAGAGTGCACAACTAGACTTGGTACTGATCATTCCTGTAAAATTTGGATAAAATTGCACCAGTAGTTTATGAGGAGTAGTCCGGACAAGCTTTTGTGTATCTGACAACACACAGAAAAAAAATACCTTTTATCAAAGGGCCATAACTCGGCCAAAAATCATTCAACCGGAAAACTCGTGCAAGATGCGCAAGGACTTGAGCTACAGATCAATCCTGTAAAGTTTCATTGAAATTGCATAAGTGGTATAAGAAAAGTAGTCCGGACAAACTATAAAAATAAAAATTATTAAAGGGCCATAACTAAATATTGTCATAAAACATTGTAAACACTGATTATTTCTTGCCTCACTGTATTTTAACACGATTTTAGTTTGCTTTTCTGATGCTTGATAGATTTTGTGAAGTTACTATCGTTGGTTGAATGTTTGTGGGTTTATACTGTATCTTAGAGTTGTAAAACATATTCATTTTTGTGTTCTTCATTTTGTGGTGATTTTTTGTTTTGTTTGATCATAAGTTGTTTAGAGCTTGGGCTCGCCAGGTGTCTAGTATTGTTTCGTATAAAAGACGTATACGTGACAAGATATTTGGTATAAGTTGCTGATAAATGATGTGTATTTGTTTTTGGTGTAAAAAATAGGTGCTGCCTAGCCCCCAAATCTTGGCTATTGGTTCTAGTATTTATTACTAAATCTTTTTCTAACATTAAATAACATCAAGGCAGTCATTTCTCCTTACAATTTGAGAAGCTCATAAGATTAAGAAAAGAAAATTGAAATAGGGAAACAAGAAAACAATCATAATTCTTTGATGAAACAGTGAGCGTTTTATGAAAATGATAGCATTCTCTTCATATTGCAGTTCTTTCTTTTCTACAATTGTTTCTATGATTTCCTATTTTGAATTATTCACAATACTCCCCGTCTATACCCATTTGCCCATGTTCTCCCTCCAGTTATTGTTAAATATCCTGCTTGGTACCTTGCCGGTGCCAGCATTTTTGTTTAGAATGCAGATGACAAGAACAGCATAGAAGGTAGTCCATATCGGGTAAAAGGAAAACTGTGCATACTATGTTATATTCAATCTGATTAATTACCCGGTAACGTTGCCCTGCGATTTCTTAAGTAAAATTAGAAAAAGAACATGACGTAGACTGTCGAGAATGTGTTCGTTGTAGTGGTATCATTCTTTAAATATTCGGACAACAAAGTCTACAATTACAATAGGAATACTCGATAATAGAAATAAACGGCATCAAAACAAAGAGAAGGACAATTTCATTTACAATATCAGCGAAAATATTTGTATTCAGGTGTTAGCATATGTTAAATATAAAAGATTAAAAAGGAAAAATAAATAATGAGTTCAATATGGCCTTCAGCGTAACTTGTTAAAATATATTCTCAGAAACAGATATTAGTTTAAACTTTACACAAAATTTATTTTAGTTTTGTAGGAAGCTATCATAAACACACTCTTGAATTCGTTCCTTGAACCAACAAGTGCAAAGCTTGCCTCTGACTGAGTTTTAACACACGTTGCTAGCGACAAAATTAAGTTCCTTCCAACGCACAAATCTTTAAAAAAAAGCATTGCATATTTTGAGATGCAGTTATATCTTTTTGAACATATCAACATTAAGTCATGTCTAACAACATACATTATTTGTTAAATGCCACTATTTCACCATATTATTGGGAGTGTTGCAGCCTTTGAATCAAGTTTCTGTTTGCACATTATTTCCCGATAAATTATAGCGCAAATATAATGATTTTCAACGTTTATATGTATATTTCATGCTATTTATAATAAAGATGCAAAATTGAAACTTTAACTTTTATGCCGGCTCGCCACGGCGAGCCGGTATTACGTTAGGATTTTACTGAGAAACAACCTAAAACTCCAAATCCATCCAAAAATTTAATGGAAGCTTAGCTTCCAGCTTTCTACAAAATTTATGTATCAGGGCTAGGATCCAAAATTATTTAGCCAATAAAATTTAATCTTAAATAGCGTCAAAAAACCTTCAATTTTCACGCCATTTTTAAAAAGCAGCAAGTATTGTTTTGAGCGCAAAGATATAATGATAATTAAAATGTTTGTTTTCATGGATTCTTTTCAGTAAATCATATTTACGCTGACTTTTAATTAAGCGATTTCATCAGTCCTGTTTACTCTGTAGTAAGTTCTCGTTTGGTTAATTAACATAAACGACATCAGGTTCTGTGCATTTTTTCTTTTCCTTTTTTCCGGTCATTTCATCCTTTCCGGTATTTAGTGTATGTATTTACTGGCCGGGACGCCCGGGATCCGGGATCGTATAAGATAACAGAGGAAAAATCTAATAAACTATATTTGTGTTGATTATTGTCGTAATGAAAGGCCATTAAACGTTAAGTTTTTTTTATTGTATGTAATGAAAGTTAAATTGATTTAACTTAGGATATAGATATATTTAGAGCTATTTATTAACAAAATCACAATACTTATAATTATATGCCTAATTAATTGGAAAAATCAAAGACTATATTCTTGAATTGGTCAAATCCCGGGATCCCTATATGGTTTAATACGATCCCAGCTTTTCTGAAAACAATATTCTTGAACTGTCCAATTCCTGGGATCTCTTTATTTTTTAATGTGATCCCGGCTTTTCTGAAAACTATATTCTTGAACTGGTCAATTTCCGGGATCCTATTTTTTTTAATAGGATCCCGGCTTTTCTGGCTGAATTGATTGACAACTTGTGTTTACTTAAGGACTTGTATCTGTCACTTATTCCAATACTTAATAACATATTACAACTTAACTTCGTATAAAGAGACATTTTTATGAATTCTACTTATCTATTTTTTTATGGTCAAGGTCAACAGGCCATATACTAGTAGTAAATGTGCATAGACATAGGGATTTCATTCTATCTGTTTACATGCATCTTCATATATACTCCTATTCCTCTTTGTTAAACTGAGAGAACTGGCTTCCTTAACTTTATATGACTTTGTCACTTTTATTTTGATGTTCGCTGAAGTCTTTTCAGCTAACAGAACTGTCATTTTTACATTTAAACACGCCCCTGGGAAGAAATTACGAAGCGAGTCGCTACTAACTTTTTTAAAAGCTAACCTTGTAGTTACCTTTTATGTCAATAAAAACCATGCCTTGTTTAATTTTATTGATGACGTTTCTTTCCTGTCAAAATGAATCTGAAAACTTGGTATTCTATATCTTTCAATATATTATTTGCCTCTCATCGTGAAATTTTAATTTTACGAATATGAAGTTTTCCAATTACATTAGCTTAAAATCGTGAAAATCTTTCTAAACAAAAGTCAAATATGAAATATATAAAAAATCTTAAGATTTATCAGCATGAGAAATTTTATAAGACAACGAAAATGAAAATCCAGACAAAGTTACAATAATGTTTTATGACCTTTATACATAATAAATTATCATCTATTCATGGATTTTGTATGCATAAGAAAGATTAAATAGGTAAAGGTAGCCAAGAACTACAAACATCTCAAATTCATGTTTCCACTTCATCAGTTTACTATCTGATGAAATTTAAATGTTTCAAAATTGACAGTTTGATAGAAAATGAGTTTGAAATGTAGAGAAAAAACATATTTGCAATAACGACTTCAGTTACTGTAAACCAGTGCGTAACAACACATTTATTACAAATAATAGTCTATACAATTGTTGTTGTTACAATTGTATTACACAGAGGATATTTGTTTGTTTGTGT